GCTCCTCTTCCTATCCAGCTCTCTGCTATGGCCTGGGAAAGCAGTGGAAGATGGCCTAAGTTGTTGGGCCCCTGCACCCATGTGGGAGACCTGGAAGAATCTCCTGGCTCCTGGCTTCAGATTGGTGTAGCTCTGGTCATTGATGCCATTTGGGGAGTGAACCAGCGGGTGGAAGATCTTTCTCTTTCTGACTCTCCTTCTTTCTTTGTGTGACTCTGACTTTAAAATAAATAAATAAATCTTGGGGCCATTTGCTGTGGTTCACTAGGTTAACACCCTGGTCTGAAGTGCTAGCATCCCATATGGGCACCTGTTTGAGTCCCAGCTATTCTACTTCCTATCCAGCTCTCTGCTATGGACTGGAAAAGCAGAAGTCCTTGGGCCCCTGCACCCACAAGGGAGACCCAGAAGAAGATCCTGGCTCCTGGCTTCATATAGGCACAACTCTGGCCATTGTGGCCAACTGGGGAGTGAATCATCGAGTGGAAGACCCCCTCACCCCCACCTCTCCTCTCTCTGTAACTCTAAGTTTTAAATAAATTAAATACATCTTTAAAATGAATGAATGAATGAATCTTTAAAAAAATTGGAAAGGAGGTCAAACCATCTGTTTTCAAATGACATGACATTTTACATGAAAAATCCTAAATGCTCCGCCAGAAAGCTGTAGAACTGATAAACCAATTCAGTAAAGTAGCAGGTTACAAATAAACACCAAAAAGCCCATGGGCTCTTTAACACCCTAATGATGAACTCATCGATAAAGAAATCAAGAAAGAAATCTCATTCATAATATCCACAAAACAATCCAATACTTTGGAATAAATTTAACCAAAGAAATGCAAGATCTCTACAATGAAAGTTATGAAACATTGATGAAAGAAATCATCAAGGACACAAAAATATAGAAAGATATTCCTTGTTCATGAAATCAGTATCTTTAAAATATCTATAGTAACTAAATAAATCTACACATTCTGTACAAAACCTGCCAAAGTACTAAGGGTATTCTTCAGGTAGAAAGGGCAATCTTAAAATTCATATGGAATCACAAAAGATCCAGAATAGCCAAAATGATCTTGAGGAAAAAAAATCAAGTTGGAGGCTTCACAATACTTGATTTCAAAGCATATTACAAAGATACAGTACAGCACACTAAGGACAGAGATCCTACATGAGGATTAAGTGCACAGTGACTCTTGTTGTTGACTCAACAAATTGACACTCTTGTTTATGGCATCAGTAATCACCCTAGGCTCTTGTCATGAGCTGCCAAGGCTATGGAAGCCCCCTGAGTTCACCGACTCTGATCATATTTAGACAAGGCCATGGTCAAAGTGGAAGTTCTCTCTTCCCTTCATAGAAAGGTACCTCCTTCTTTGATGACCCATTCTTTCCACTGGGATCTCACTTGTAGAGATCTTTCATTTAGTTTTTTTTTTCCCCAGTGTCTTGGCTTTCCATGCCTGTAATACTCTCATGGGCTTTTCAGCCAGATCCGCATGCCTTAAGGACTGATTCGGAGGCCAGAGTGACTGATCTTCTGTATATAAAGAGAATCGAAATGAATCTTGATGTGAATGGAAGTGGAATTGGAGTGGGAACGGGGAGGGTTGCGGTGTGATGGACGTTATGGGGGGAAGCCATTTTAATCCATAAGCTGTACTTTGGAAATTTATATTCATTAAATAAAAGTTAACAAAAACCAAAGATATAGTAATGAAAACATCGTGGTACTAGCATGAAAACTGACACATAGATAACTAGAGCAAATTAGAGGGCCTAGAAATTAATCAATGAATATATTACAAACGTATTTTTGACATAAGTATTCAAACCACACATTGTTGAAAGGATAATCTATTCAAGAATGGTGCTGGCAAAATTGGATGTATATATGCAGAAGAATGAACCAGGTTCCTTACCTCTCACCATATGCAAAAATCAACTCAAGATGGATCAAAGACCCAAGTTGAAGACCTGAGAGTATACAGTAGCTGGAAGAAAATTGGGGTAAGCATCTTGAGACATTGGGTTAGGTGATGACTTTTTGGATAAAAACCCCTAAATCATAGGCAACAAAAGAAGAACTAGAGAAATGGGTTTGCTATAAACTCAGAAGCTTCAGTACAGCAAAGGATACAATCAATAGAGTGAAGAGACATTCAACAGAATGGGAAATATTTTTTAATTTTACTTACAAGTTTCATGTGTTTCATGTATACAGATTTAGGAACATAGTGATACTTCTCCTCGTACCCTCCTTCATGCCCACACTCCAACACTGCTTCTTCCTACCTCTCCCATTCCTACTTTTAATTTTTACAAATATCTATTTTCAATGTACTTGGTGATCATATAGTTAACCCTACACTCAGTAAAAGCGTTCAACAAATTGTGTGAAACAATAACCACTCTTCTGCAACAGAAGAGACAAAGACTGTAAACGATCATTGAACCTCAAAATGTCTATTTTACCCCAATACATTATATTTCAGGTACGGTGTTAATTACCTTGGGTCAGAGAAAATATGATATCTGTCTTTTTGGGACTGGCTTATTTCACTAAGTATAATGTTTTCCAGTTGCATCCATCTTGTTGCAAAAGACAGGATTTCCTTTTTTTAACAGCTGAGTAGTACTCCATAGTGTATATATTCTATAATTTCTTTATCCAGTCAACAGTTGATGGACACATAGCTTGTTTCCGTATCTTAGCTATTAAGAATAGTGATGCAATGAACATGAGGGTATAGATAACTCCTTCAGGTGCTGATTTCTTTTGGTTTGGGTAAATTCCCAGGAGTGGGATGGCTGGATCATATCTAGGTCTATATTCAGATGTCTGAGGTATCTCTATTGTTTTCCACAATGGCTGCACCAATTTACATGCCCACTGACAGTGGATTAGGGAACCCTTTCCACCACATCCATGCCAGCATTTGTTGTTTGTTGATTTCTGTAAGAGAGCCATTCTAACTGGAGTGAGGTGAAACCTCATTGTGGTTTTGATTTGCATTTCCCTGATGGCTAGTGATCCTGAACATTTTTTCATGTGTCTGCTGGCCATTTGGATTTCCTCTTTTGAAAAATGCCTATTCAAGTCCTTTCCCCATTTCTTTCTTAATAGGATTGTATTTTTTGTTGTTGTTGGATGTAAAGCTCTTTTTAGATTCTGCATGTTAACCCTTTATCAGTGGCATAGGTTTCAAATACTTTTTCATCTGTCGATTGCCGCTCCATTTTGCTGCGTGTTTCTTTTGTGGTGCAGTAGCTTTTCAGCTTGATGTAACCCCATTTGTCCATCTTGGCTTTGATTGCCTGTGTTTCTGAAGTCTATTCAAAAAAGTCTCTGCCTATGCCAAAGTCTTGTAGAGTTTCCCTAATATTATCTAGTAATTTGATGGTATTGGGTCATAGATTTAAGTCTTTGATCCATTTTGAGTGGATTTTTTTGTAACTTGTATGGTATGGGTCTAGTTTTATACTTCTGCAAGTGGAGATCCAGTTTCCCCAGAACCATTTGTTGAAGAGTCTGAGCTTGCTCCAGGGATTGATTTTAGCTCCTTTGTCAAAGATACATAGTTTGTAGATGCGTGGATTGATTTCTAGGGTTTCTGTTTTGTTCCATTGGTCTACATGTCTGTTTTTGTGCCAGTACCAGGCTGTTTTAAAGATTTATTGGAAAGACAAAGTTATGAGAGATGTAGAGACTGAGCGAGAGGTTTCCATCTGCTGGTTCACTCCCTAGATGGCCACAATAGCTGCAGTTGTGCTGATCTGAAGCCAGAAGCCAGGAGCTTCTTCCAGGTCTCCCACATGGGTGCAGGGGCCCAACAAGTTGGGCCATCTTCTACTGCTTTCCCAGGCCATAGCAGAGAGCTAGATTGGAAGAGGAGCAGCCAGGACTAGAACCAGCACCCATGTAGGATGGCAGTGCTACAGGCTAGGGCTTTAACCTGCTGTGGCACAGCTCCAGCCCAATACCAGGCTGTTTTGATTATAAATCCCCTGTGTTAATTCTTGAAATCTGGTATTGCAATGTCTTGTGCTTTGTTTTTGTTGTATAGGTTTGCTTTAGCTATTTGGGGTATCTTGTATTTCCTTATAACTTTTAGCAGCATTTCTTTTCTAGATCTGAGAAGAATGTCATTGTTATTTTGATTGGGATTACATTGAACCTGTAAATTGCTTTCAGTAGTGTGGAAATTCTGAAGATATTGATTCTTCTAATCCATGAACCTGGGAGAATTTTCCATTTTTAAGGTTTTCTACTCTTTTTTTAAATGTTTTATAATTTTTATCATAGAGATCTTTGGCCTCCTTGGTTAAATTTATTCCAAGGTATCTATTTTTTGTAGCTATTTTTATGTTTTATTTTTCTGAGGGAGGAATAACTTATAATGCTGTCTAGTTTCATACTGTTGGTGTGTTGGTGAATTTTTAAACTGTGTGCCAAATGCAATCAATTATATGAACTGAGAAAAAATGCACTTATCCTAAAAATAAAACACTGCAAGTAGAAATTGTGTAAAATATTTCATGAATTTGACACAACTTGAAATGACAGTCTGTTAATCTTAACCTTCAAACACATGAATCAATGAAAAGCAACCAACAGATGATTGCATAAATTTATTTAATCCCACATAATTTTAACAGGTATGAATTTAACACTCAAATTATGGATGAAATATAGAAATAAGAAAAATTTCCTAGAAAGAGGAGCAATGTTATCCATTGTGAGAAAACAAAACATCCACTCTCTTGGGCATGTAACATTTGAGAGCCATTATCAAATCCCAAGAACTCTTATTTTTGCTTAAGATAGAAAAATGCAGAGAATGTTCAACAATAAAATGTGAAATGATAAAATAGAATCCTGAGCAATAGGAAAAGAGTGAATAAAATTGAGTGAACATTGTGAATATTCTGACAATTAGATGTTCTAAACCAAATGCTTATTTTCAAGGCAAATATAATTGAATGAAATTGCTTCTATAAGAGTTGATACATTACTGGAAAATTACAGAGAGGTCTCAAGAAAATGGCTTTGGTGAATAGATTAGAGATGCTCCTGAATGCTTGGGTAACTGACAAGTCAGATGGTATTCAACCATTTCAGAAGGTACTGAAAAGAGAGATGCTTGCCTCTTGGGTTCCATCCCTAAGTAGAAGTGAAATCGCATGTTGGAACACATCAAGGCTTTCCTGAAGGGCTTGGGAAGGTGAGTGTGATCATGGGGACAGTTTGCTTCAGAGGAGTCTCAGGTTCCTTCTGCGATCTTCTAGAGCCCTTGGAACCTCACTCACACCTCCTCCATGTGCCAGAGCTGAGGAACCACTGAGTGGAAGTCTGAGTCTGACCATTGTTGCATCAGGGCATGGCTGTGTTGTTGCTCTAAATTCCATAGTCTCTCCCTTCTCCCTGATGCTGCCCCTCTCTTTAGGTGGCTGTGGAAGAACTACCAACATGGGCTGGCCTTCCACTTTGCCATGTAGGAGATCAATAAGGACCCCCAGCTACTCCCCTGCATGACCTTCAGTTTCCAACTCTACAATTCTGTTACCAGTGACACGCTGAGGAGTACTGTGTACTGGTTGACTGGAAAGCATCATCTCATCCCTATCTACATCTGCCAGACACAAGGCAAGACGGTTGCCATCATTGCTGGAACCACATCAGCATTTTCAGCTGAAACTTGAATGGTACTGGAGCTGTACAAAACCCCACAGGTAAATGGGTTGTGACTTCTGGTGAGAAATGTTTCCATCTCCCACCAGATCTGTCACATCTGATGCAAGGGTCATGTGGAAGCCAGTTACACATATACTACTCTTAGTTGAAACAAATTCTGGGGAATTCGTTAGGCTGTGAGAAAGGGAAGGAGCAGTGGATGCTGAGAGCCTCAGCCCAGATCTCTGTCTAGGGCCAATGTATCCATCCCCACCTGTTAGGAATGTTGATTGTTGACTCTTCATAGGAAATACCCGCAGCACAGAGATGTCCTAAGATGACTCTATGTTAGTTGTGGGGATATAAAGACCTGGGCTTGTATTTTCCATTTAGGACCCCACTGAAGACGATGACAATCCCAAAGATCATTAATGAATATTTGGGGTTTGGTTACAGTTAGATGAGATTTCACTCTCTCCCTATGCCCAGTCCTGACTTTGTCACATGTAGCAGATTCATTCACAGGGTTCCCAGTTTACTTTCCATGTCCAACTCAGAGATTTAAATCTTTTTGTGTGTTTGAGGGACTGAGAAACAATTCAGGCAGACAGTATACACCTATTCACTGGTTTAGTCACCAAATACCCACCATGGTGCTGGTGCAGATTGGCTGTGGTGCAGCCAGGAGCCTAGCATTCAATACAAATCTCCCAAGTAGGTGTCAGGAACCCAATTACATGATCCAATTGAGCTGCCTCCCTGGATCTGCATTCACATTTCAGAGATTCTTAAAGGAGACCCACGGGAAACAGGTAGCATTGTGCACCCATTACCATCAGGCTCAGACTGGAATAGCATAGGAGGATTCAAACCCTCAGGAGATCAGCACAGTAAAGAGTTGTTTGTCTCAGAGGTAACATGTAATCCCAGTTGTAGTGGGGCTGTTAACCTCTTGTGACATGCAGTGAGAAGTGGGAAACACCAATGTCCTGGTGATTCTGCAACCAGAAATCATATCTCCTTCTCTCCATGGCTTGCCATGAAGATACATGGGTATCTTACTCACTTTCATGCTATGAATGAAGATCTACATTTCTTCTAAAAGCAATAGGCATTGAAGCATTGTTTTCTCTGATCCCAGGTAATAGAACTTGGCTGTGTCTATGCTGGACATTGTCTTCCCAATATCATTGTGTTCAGATGTGCTGTTGGAGAGCAGTGTTTTTTTTTTTCTCACTTCCCAAGATTGACAACTCGTAACCCACCTTCATCAGATCATGATGGTTTTCTTTCCTTTCAAATCACATATCATCCTGTTGATCCCATGCTAAATGAGCGAGACAAGTTTCTATCACTCTCAGATGGCCAACAGTGATAACTCTCTGGTCTGTGGAATGCACTCGTTACTACCACAGTTTGGCTGGATTTGGGTGGTACTCTTTGTATCTAATGATATGAAAGGAGAGCAGTTCCTTCAGAATATTGAAGCTGAGATGGTAAAGAAAGGTGTCTGTTTGGCCTATTCAGAAAAGCTCCCTGACACTAAGTCAAGGTATGCAGAAACTGAAATCTCTTGCCTAGAGGTGATAAACATTTCATCAGCAAATGTGCATATTCTATATGGTGATGTAAGGAGTCTCTATACCATCGAATTCCTAAGTGAATTCTATTTAACACTGGAGAAGGTGTGGATCATAGATGCAAAGTGGGATATTGTTGTGCTTGAGACACAACACGTGCTGCATTTTGTCCATGGAGGCTTCTCATTTTCACACCACAAGGGAGAAACTCCTGGCCTCGAATATATTATCAAGACAGTGGACATGGGCCGGCGCCATGACTCACTTGGTTAATCCTCCGCCTGCGGTGCTGGCATCTCATATGGGCACTGGGTTCTAGTCTCGGCTGCTCCTCTTCCAGTCCAGCTCTCTGCTGTGGCCCGGGAGGGCAGTGGAGGATGGCCCAAGTGCTTGGGCCCTGCACCCACATGGGAGACCAGGAAGAAGCACCTGGCTCCTGGCTTCAGATTGGCGGAGCATGCCGGCCGTAGCCATAGTGAGAGCTGGATTGGAAGAGGAGCAGCCAGGAGTAAAACTGGCATCCATAGGGGATGCTGGTGCTTCAGGCCAGGGCTTTAACCTGCTGCACCACAGCACCGCCCCTCAATTTCTTTTGTAACATGTGAAAGTGCGGTATGTTTTTTATTAACTTGATGATTCAGTGAAGCAATATTTTTAACTATATAGCAAATGATCTGAGATCCACACAATTTTTATCCTCTCTGTATATATTTACTAACACATGTAAAAGAAATTATGACATTTTGGATTGGGGAGTATGGTTATTTCATTTAGCTTAATGACTTCCAGTTCCAAGTGTGCACATTTCATTCTTTCTCATGGCTGATAATTAATATTTCACCATATATTTGTGTATATATATATATATATATATATACATATACATCTTGTGTTTCCTTCATCCATTCATCAGTTGATGGACATGTAGATTGATTTCACAGCTTAGCTATTGTGCATTGAGCTGCTACTAATATGAGAGTGCAAGTGACTTTCATGTGCTGATTTAATTTCCTTTCTATATCTTTGTTTGCCTACGTGTGGGATAGCTGGAATGTATCTTAGAACTAGTATTGTTTTTCTGAGGAATCCCCATACCATCTTCCATAATGATTGTAGCATTTTTCATTCATTCCCACCAAGAGTTTATTGTAGTACTTTTCCCGCCACACAGTCTCCAGAACTTGTTATTGCTCGAAGTTTGGATGATAGCCATTCTAGCTGGGGTGTGGTGAAACCACACTCTGCGTTTTATTTCCATTTCCCTAATGTCTTGTGATCCAGAGCATCTTTTCATGTGTTTGTTGGCCATTTGTATTTCATCCTTTGAAAAATGCCTGTTCATATTCCTTACTCCATTTCTTTACTGGATTGTTTGTTTTGTTGTTGTTAAGTTTCTTGAGGTCCTTTTCCCCCCAAAGAAACCTTATATTTAAGGAATACAAACTCCATGCATTTCACAAGTACAACTTTAGGAATGTAGGGATTCTGCCCAACATTTCTGCCCTCCAATCCTTCCTTCTCCTCCCTCTTCCTTTCCTATTCTGGATATTAATACTTTATTGGATATTGGATGTATATTTTGTAGATATTTTCCCTCATTCTGTAAGCCGTGTTTACCTTGATGAGTATGTCCTTTGCTAAGTAGAAGTTAGTTAGTTTGATGTAATCTCATGTGCTTATCTTTTCCTTTATTGCCTGTAGTTCTGGGGTCTTATCCAAGAAGTCTTTGCCTAAGTCAATGTCTTGCAGTGTTTCCCCAGTGTTTTCCTCTAGTAATTTGATGTTTTCAGGGCTTAGGTTTAGATCTTTGATCAATTATGAATTGATATTTATATAGGCTTTAAGGTAGCAGAATGATTTCAAGAGTCTGCATGTGGAAATCAGTTTGCCAATACTACTTGTTGAAGAGACTGTTCTTTCTGAAGAGAGTGAGTTTGGCTCTGTGTAGCATTTTGAATTATAATTTAATAATGAGAGGTCATAGAATAATAATATTTCTCACTGTAGGATGAAATGCTATAAAATATCCTAATATAGCTCATTACAAAGAATAGGAAGGAAAAAAATTGCCCAAACATATTCTTTTTTTTGGGAATGTATGCAAAGCTAAGAAATGTGGATTATTGATATATCTCATAGCAGCTATGTCTGCTATAATGTTGTATATATGTGTGCTATAGCTCATGTGCTTTGTGAGACATTGTTGGGGAAAATAAAATTGGGTCCACTTTATATCATAAAATGACTCTGAAAAATGAAGCAATGTCACAAAGAAAGCCTGCCACAACTAGTGAGGACAGTCTGTGAGCCTATTGTTAAATACAAGATCACAGAGCTTGCATGTAAGCACAGGGTACATCTGCTGGTTATAGATGGATTTGCCTGGATTTTAAACCTGGCTTGCTTGGATCTATTACCCATATGTAGAACAGTATCAGGAACTTCGCCATACGTATACATGAAAATCCACTAATCAAATTATTTGAGGAAATCAAATTTAATGTGTCACAGAAGGAAAATGTATATATATATAGTACATTATATATGTTTAAATTTACACAGTTTACTTCACTGTGTAATTTCCATGTTTATTACAATAATAGTTGCCATACTATTTTTGAGTTGGTAGCCTCAATATTAGAAAAATAAGTATGTTGTCAAAAAAGGCTTTGGAAGATAAGATTATAGAATATTTATGATTTTCTTGGTTCAAATTAATGAAGAAATGATGATAGTTGTTTAAAGAATACGCCCTCCAGGAGGAGCTAAGATGACAGAATAGGGAGGGAGCTTACTGAATCCGGGAGAAGACAGATTAAGAAAAGTGAAGATAGTGGCCAGCGTTGTGGCTTACTAGGCTAATCTTCCACCTGCGGTGCCGGCACCCCAGGTTCTAGTCCCGGTTGGGCTTCCAGATTCTGTCCCGGTTTCTCCTCTTCCAGTCCAGCTCTCTGCTGTGGCCCAGAAAGGCAGTGGAGCATGGCCCAAGTGTGTGGACCCTGCACCCTCATGGGAGAGCAGGAGGAAGCACCTGGCTCCTGGCTTCAGATTGGCACAGCACGCAGGCCATAGTGGCCATTTTGGGGGTGAACCAACAGAAGGAAGACCTTTCTCTCTGTCTCTCTCTCTAACTCTGCCTGTGCTCTGTTTTCTAAGTCCGATATTCTCTCTTTTGTTTCACTGACACTGTTTTTTAGACTTTCTAATGTGTTTGTCATTTGATCTATTGAGCTCTTCATTTCATTTTGTTTTCTCTTCACTATCACACTTTCCTGTTCTACTAGTTTCTGCATTTCATTTTGATTCTTCCTTAAGATTGCATTTTCACAAGAGAGATTTTCAATCCTGTCCAATAAGGATTTCTGTAGTTCAAGGATTTGCTTTTGAAAAGTGCTAAATGTTCTTATCATGAATTTTTTGAAATCCGTATCTTGCATTTCTTCTATCTCATCATCTTCATAATCTTGGCTTGGTGTGTG